TACAACGTTGGTTCAAAGATTACAACTGAAAAATCCAAAGAACATTACTTTAATAATTATTTGATTTATATTGAAATATTATGTTAATAATCTTGAACAGTTTTCAAAAAATGTAAGAGCTTCAAACAGGTTTAAAATAAAAACTAGAAAGTACAAAATAAGAGAATCCTTGAAATCCTTTGTTTCTTCATGTAAAAATGGAATGTAAAATTTTATTAGGATTAAAACAAAAAATGAAGAATCCAAAATACACATTGAAAAGAACCATCTGCAAATAAGTATGATAAGATGCTTGAAGAAACAATACTTCAGTGAGAAATATTCAAAAGAAAAAAAGTATACGAATTTGATTATTTCATTAATGTTACGTTTTTCTTACCGAGGGCGCAAAGTGCAATTTTGCGCCCGTGGGCACACTTTGCGCCCAGTAAATCACTTTGGGCCCTAGGGCATAAAAGTACTTTGGGCTTGGAGGAAACATAAAACTGTTTTCTGCCCATGGGCCCAAAGTGATTACAAGGGCGCAAAGTGTGACCCGAGGGCGCAAAGCGGCAGTTGCACTTTGGGCCCGTGGTAAGAAATGGTAGTTTCCCTACGAGTTTGAAAAGTCTCTGTTTGCGAACCGAGAGGTTTGCGGCCCGAGGCGAAGGCGAGGGACGTAACGAGGTTCGTAAAGGAGACTTTTCGAACGAGTTCCGGAAAACTGCTTTTTCGCCCAAGGAAGTATCAGCCTCCCAAAACCACCCGAGGTCGGAAAAGGAGACTTTTCGAACGAGTTCCGGAAAATTGCTTTTTCGCCCGAGGAAGTACCATTATATTCTGAACATCTTTGGTTTGTTTATTACAATTAATTATACTTTGCCAAATCATTTTATTTGATCCCTGTACTAAAGTAATTGTAAAATGAATAAAAGTATCATCTTTTTGGAATAAATACTACGAGTAAGAGTACAAAGCAACATAAGGTATTGGTTGTACAAAAGTCCTACTTATTTGTCAAAATAATTATTTGTCAAAATAATTAAAAATAATTATTTCAAAATTCCAATGGACATCACGCGAAAGATCGACTGTAGGAATAAATGAGTGGTTTCCGATATTCCGATCTCACGGAAAATTACCGCATACCTCGCATCCGCCCATCAGCTCATCGAGTTTCGATACGGCTTCTAATGTGCATCACCCGGACTTTTACTGAGCCATGTATCAATTTCGTGCGAAAGGAACCAGTGTGGATTCCGAATTTTGAAAACGGTATGAGAAATTGTTGCTCAAATATTTGGGGTGTTTCCTGAAGAAGTGCCATTTATTTTCTCGGTCCTTCAGTTGTATTCTAAGTAAATATAAAATTATGGACAAATAAGTATGAACTTACAAGTATGAATATTGTGAGTAATTAAAGGAAAATATATGAAATATATTCAGCTTGTATGTGCTTACAAACGTAAATTTTTCATCGACGGCAATCAACGAGTACCACTATCAAAATTATGGAAAATATCTGAAAATAGTAAGAGCAACAAAAGTATGATCTAGAGATAAGGTTCATCGAAATCGGCATTCAAGATCAGAATAAATTGATTATGACACGAAAGCAGTGATAATCGTTAGGTAGCCATTATGTTAATAATACGTTACAGACCTTCGTCATCTACGACGTAATGGAAGGGGAACACAAAGGCGGTGATCTAAATATTACTAATAGTAGACGAGGGGGGGGGGAAGATCAATGGCCTCCACGCCCCGTCTCTAACGACGTTCTGAGAAAAAAGACAAGACTTAACACTTTTTTTTATCTATTTAAACCCAATTTTCCAAAGAAAAGGGTCTGTTAGTATTCCAAAGCAAACACGTATCGTTAAAAAAAAAGTGTCAGTTTCTAAAATTCTCCCCCTACGGCAAAGCTAAAATACTGTCTGGTGTAGAATTACAAGTTCTCACAACGAGCCCGGTTTCCCTCCTCCCTTTTTCTCGGCGTTAGCTACTTCTCCAACAGCAGAAAATATTTATTTTAAGATAAAACTGATACTGCATCACTTTGGAATATTACCGTGTAGATAGTAAGCGCGTTAACTGATGTCAATATAATATTTTATTTAAAAATTTCAATAACTTTGTATCATAAATATATGTTGAAATCAACAGAAAAAAATGTATCCATATTGTACATTACAAACACTCAGAGGAAAAAGAGAAAAGACAAAAAGATGTGTATCAAATATCCCAAGTAATTTACAAAATGTTACTGTCATCCCAGCATATGTGCAAGATGAATATGAATCCATAGTTATAGTTATATTGAGAGCAATCGTTTGTACTGATATATTATATTGTTAATCAAACTTTTTTTTAAATGCCTATCAGTGGTATACACTTACATGTATAATAATATGTAGGGTTTCAGAAACATATCTGTATTTTTCGAGATTTTTGATGCATTTAGTTTTTTTGCAATAAAACAATGAAAATAGAGTTATTCACATTGGTAAAATTAAAATTGTTGTTCAAAATCGTATAAAGTATTTATTTCGACAAAGATTGAAAAAAATAGTCCGCTTGTAAACAAAGATGTTAACTCAAATGTGAAGAAACACCTCTTCACTCCATGCTGATCCTTATGGTAGTCTTTTGTCGATCTGCATGCTGTACAATATTTTTTCACTAAATAGCTCCTTAATTTTTGTTCTATTTTAGAATTAAATTTATTCTGCTGCACATTAGGCACATTAATAGTCAAGACTTAAAATTTGGGAGTCATACAAGGGTAATGTAAAAACAAAAATGCTTGACTTTCTAAAAATTTCTAATATACTTTTGATAGTTAAGAGATTAAAATATTTCACTTTCAGTCCTGACTTTTTTTCGCGCGAATAAAAAAATTTCTCATCCCCAGACAAAGTTTGTGGCAAACTAGAGCATTTGAGAGATACCCTTGGGTTTTTTTGGTAAGTAATATTAAAATGACAATAATTCAAGTATTGGCTAGTTGAATTTTGTTCAAATTTTACAAGATAATACGTATCCTTAGCATAATCTGCAAAAAATTTTAAAATACGTAATACTAAATTAGTTCAGAGACAATTTGCTCAAGACAAAATTTATACACCTTACACGTATGTATCAAGTACACTTAAAAATCGATGTAAAGTTTAAAAAATGTACATGCAATGTAGTCTTTGAAACTCCTGTTATAAAACTTTTCGACCAGTCACTGAAATTTAATTACATGCCGTTTCCGACGAGAAAATTTATTGCGGTAGCTCCGCAAGTCAATAACTGTATGTATGTATATATGTATGTATATATGAGGGACCGAGCGTCGAGCCAACGCGTGTGCGCGTCATGTGTATAATTGCCACTCTCAGGCTGCCGTGAAACGTGCAATTTCGGGCAAACATGCCGGTGACAGCTTTCACTTGAGATACACGTGTTTCTTCCTCAAAGTTCGGTATCGGCTCGACTCCTCGAATCTCGGTCACGAGGCTACCGCGTAAGTATATACACGTTTTACAGCCAACATTCCTTCCTTATGTTAATATATCGTTTCAGATTTTATGACTGCGAGTACAAAGCAGAAACATATTGTCAACGCAGACTGCCTAGTATACGATCAGTATTACATACAACTGCTGCACGAGAGTAACTTTTATTTTTTCACTTTTACGGGTACATCACCTATTGTTTTGATTGGCGTGTACCTTCACATATAGCTGGTCCCATCCAAGGAAACTATAGTTTACCCGCCCTCAAACAGTTGGACCCTTAAGAAATTCAGTTTCAACCAATCCACACACACGTCACATAAGATTACTGTAAATGATTGTATCAGATTTTTTCATTAACATTGTTGAATCTCTTTTATTTAAATCCTTGTGCAAACTACAGGTTTTTGTTTTTTTATCCAAACCTGAATAAAAATGGAAAGTGTATGGTACTAAAAAAATAGATAACGTCTATTGAAGTTCACGAGCTAAAAATTCTAGTCACGACCGTGTCCCGTTTGGAATCCACCTGTTTAGGAATGAAAAAAAAAAAAAAAAAGTTAATTCATAATCGTTGTTGTTTTTCAATTTTTCTCTCCTAATATTAGACGAGACAAAAGAAACGTTCCTCAACTCGTCCACTTGGCGTCCATATACCGTCCAGCGTTGGGCTCCAACAGGCGTCAGTTCACGCGCGTACACGTTTTACCCCAGTCTCGTTTTACAGTCCATCTCCTTCTTCTAAGTACGTACTGTAGCAAATCCTCACGTACAGCCAAGCAAGACCAAGGTGTTACCCACCTGGGAGAGTACACCAATACGACATTGGTCGTACAGTCGAATCGCCAAGTGGGGATGTCCACGGGGCAGATGGTGTACACCGTGCGAAGATCCCTCAGCTGAAGAGCATCTCTCAAAATATACTCCCATTTACAGCCCATAATTAATGGGGCATACTGACAGACTTGGATTTCCATTTCACCCGGACTTTCGTCGGTATATTATGGCATTGTTTATTTGAAAAATGATGTTGATTGCTCCTTTTGCCATACTATTCTTCTTCCCAATGTTGTATCCCTGTAATGCTTGTTTCGCAGATTCGATCGCCAAATCAAAGATTCAATCGTCTTTGATCACGATGCGTAATGACGTGTATGATTTTCTACTCGAACAAACAAAATATTTATCAAATAAACAGTAAATTTTTTTTCTCACATGTTAGCCAACAAAGAATTCAAGCGTCGTTCTCAAGACAGCGAAACCCATAAACTACGCGCACGACGGTATACACCCGGATAACTGCAAGAGAGATGACAGTACATCCGCCGAGCCATCGGTGTACCAGCTGGCGACAAGACAAGTCAACCCACAACGTCAAAGATTAGGAGCTATAAAACGTACGTGTTGTTTTGTTGGCAGAAGTATAGGTGTACATGTATATACTATATAGTGCCAGAGTACCGTCGTTTTTCCATAAATACAAGTACCATCGGCCAAAGGGGCCATAAAACCGGGATGCTATGGGTTTCCGCGTGTTTGCTAATTGCAGGAGGAAGCAAAGCTGTTGACGCCCCGACATGTGTCCGAGAGGCCTCGGAGGTTTTTCACGGGGATGCCGTACGAGGGACCACTTCGGAACCGTCCGTCAAACTGTGCACTTCGCACTCACCTCTTGTGTAACACACAGAGTTTTGATTATCGAGTCAATAAACGAGAACACCTCGCAGTGACAGCTCACTGCACGAATAAGCAAGTCAGTGTCTCTGTAGCAAGGTTCGTAAAAAAATTTGCAAGAGCAAGAAGGACGTGGTGCAGCGAGATGTTGACGGAATCGCGGGAAGAGTTCGTCCCGACGGAGGAGGTCGAGGTCGAGTTGGACGAGTTCGATTACTACGGAGACGCGGACCAAGACCTGCTGCTGCTGGAGGACCAGTCGGTGGAGTTGCACAGCCTGGCGGAGCAAATTTTGCGGGAAACCTCGTTGGACTCGGCGGCGGGCTCGGACGACGAGGACCGGGAAGTCGTTTGCCAGGTGATAAACCGAGAAGCCGAGAGGATCATGCGCTTGACGAGGGAGATATTGTGCAGGGCACAAGAGGAAATGAGCGATCGAGCAAAGAGCGGAGACGTGGGAGTGGACGGGACCACGAGGTCGGTGGCTCAGGAGAGTTCGAGGGATGCAGTTTCGGGTGGTGCGGATGAGACGGGAAAAAGCCATAGGTTTGGGGACTTCGATGTGTTTGGGGTGGCCAACTCGAGGCAAAGCTTTGCCTGACTTACATAGCATAAAAATTAAGCTGGTGTTGCAATTATCTATAGTGGCTTGATTTTTAACGTCGCTAATGGTTGTTACGAAAGAGTGTTATTAAGTCTTATCGAAGTTATCAGTGGTGTCCTGCATAGTGGTGACTTATACTGACAGTTAGGAGTATAAACTTCCATATGTTACTTAGTGCTACGAAATGATTGTTTAAAAAAAAGAAAAATGGGATTGGCTGTTGTGCAGCCTCGTTGACTGTTTGTTTTTTACGTTATAAGCTCATCCTGATGAACTATAATTCGATGAGTATCTTTTTTTAGAATATTACTTTAATTCTTGTGTTAATTGTAAATACAGATGAAATGCGTGTTTTTTTTTATTGTNTTATTATCTTACAAATTAAAATTGAGGTAACCAATTATATTTTTCAAATTATTATATTTTTAAATCAACCAATTACATTTACACATGTGCTGTTATGTTAAGAAAATTACGCTAAACAACTTTATTGCGTCGATTGCTGTTTATTATTGTATTTGTATGATAAATTTAAAAAAAAACTACGATTAAAAGAATTGACTGGTAAACAAAGTTTTTCATTTATAATATCCTTTTACCTGTATTTTTTTATGTAGTTGATAATCGTAATTTATTCTACGGAAAAAAATATGAAGAAATACGCAGTGTTACAATGCTTCAGTGGTTATTAGGAATGATAAATATTCTTCAAATATTCATTTGTAAGTATATATAAGTAGCATAGGTATTTAGAAAATAATATATTAAAATTGAAGTCCCTCAAAAATGTCCTTTGCATGATCTAAAAAACATTACAACTTAGCTTTCAATGGTACTAATCATAACTTCAGAATAAAACCAAAATGGATTTTTTTTTTTTTTTAACAAAGAGTAAAAAAAATTATATTTTACCATGTACATCCCTGAAATAATTTTTAAAAATAATCTCACTACCCCTTGATTCCAAACATCCATTAGACACGAAAATTAAAAAAAAAGGAAAATAATTATCATTTGATCTATAGCTGCAAAGTGGTACGTTTCTGCAGACAATAAGTATATGGATGATATTAAACGGGTGTGAGGGTCGAGTGCACAATACACATTTATCGAATAAAAGGGCATGTAAGAACGGACACGCGGAAAAATTCCGAATGAAGGGGACGAAGAGGTGCAGCTGCCACCGATGCACGTGCATGAAAACACACGGTAGGTGGGAAGGCGCGTCATGAGTGCATGTTCCTTCCTATAGCATACCGAGGCTGCGGGGGCGAGTGGGTATAAATAGGCTTTTGTGGAGGAGAGAGGGTCAGAGGGGAGGAGGCAAAGTGGTTGTAAAGCCCGGCGCAACATCCCCTGCACACGTGTATGTGTGTGCAACAGGTCCATAGAGATGAGGAGCAGGTGTTCACGCTCCTGTGTCCCTTTGCACTCCTTTCTTCCTTGCCCTGCGTACACGGGGATCGGAAAATCTTGTAATTATGGGAGCCATCGGTACAACGTTGAATACGAACACTTTTTACTATTCGCTATGGACGAATATTGCGCTGCGGTTTTTTACTCATTTGGAATTTACGTATATAATTTTGACGGCCATGTCAAGGCTTTAGATGTTGGATGTCATTCGCAACTTTGCACGTAACAACTTTTCAATTGACATAGTTTCTTCATCCGTAAAATTTTGTACGATTTCAAACAAATATTCGCAGCACGAGGTTATTCGTTTACCACAAATTCTAAATTAGTTTTTTTGACAACTAAATCCAAACATTGATGTTGTTAAAAAAAAAAAAGCTTCATCAAAAATCTTGAAACAGATACATTGTAAATAAAATCTCGATGCATACAAATAATTGATTTCACGTGCGATACATCGCAATGGGATGAATCATCAAGAAGGGGGCTAGAGATGAGAGCTAAATGTACAAGTCGAGAGTCAAGATTTACGACGTCTAGAGAATACACAAGGTAAGTATAGCGCAGAGGGGCAGCTCGAAAGAGACCAAATGAAGAACGACATCGATTTGACGTGTCCTGCGACATCCCCGCAAGAATGTTCGTACGGGTACGCTTCCCGACATACAAAAAGGGGGACGCTATAACGCGAGGGTAGCGCTGCATGGAGAATCTATAAAAGCTTCGATTTATAATAGCACCTAAGGGGCCTCACAGTACAAAAATGAATATATTATAGACGGTACTGCCACCACGACATTATGGCGTTGAAATACATTTTCGGTAAAATTAACGCCACCCGAATTAATTAATCATCCCGATCGGATAAGCTAATACCAAAATCTGCTTAAAACCGATCCCAGTTGTTTACAGTGACGTAAGTTAGGACAAAGATTTTTCACGGTGACGATTAATCAGATTTCATGGAGTAGCCCTCATAACATTATACTGATTTACTCTGTGGAAAAGCGTACAGTAGGTTAGGAATGATGTCGAGATTGGCCAAAGCATTTTACACTCTCGTAATCGTTATTGTCGCGATCGCCTGATTCTCCGCGATTGCTTGGAATCGCTTGAAAGCTCAAAAGTGCCGTTTCTTAATGTATTAATAAAATTCGTTTTTTGGCCCCGAAAATTCTGACTAGCTCGGAAAAAATAGGTTAGTAGTTTTAATGCATGGTAACAAATTGACACAGCGTTTTACAATTGGAAATGTCAGCAAGAGTCCACAAAAAAATGGTAAAAATGGCCAAAACATGTTTCTTACGTCTAGAAGAAAACCGAAAAACCGCACATATTGAGAAGTGTTTCGTAAAAAGTATTTGCACTTTTAAGACAAACAAAATGAGCCTTGTTGGGTTCAAATCGGTTCAGCCGTTTTTTCGCAAATCGCAAAATACTGCCATTTTGAGTCATTTTTTCGAAACTCAATAATTCGCGTTCTGTACAATATTTAGAGCTGGAATTTGGTTACATGACATATATTATTATTATGATATTAGCCCTTAACATACACACAAAATTTCAGCTTGATCGGTTTTAAACTTTTCCCGGACCGCAGAAAAAACCGAAAAAAGGTCTTCGATTTTTCAGTTTTCTTCTAAACGCGAAAAACACGTTTTGGCCATTTTTGCCATTTTTTGGGGGCTCTTGCTTATATTACTACTTGTTAAATTCTGTGTCAATTTGTTACCATGCATTGAAACTACTACCCTTTTTTTTTTAGCTATTCAGAATTTTTATGATATTGATATGAGTTTAAGCTAATTCTACCATACTATATGCTCAATAAAACTTCTTAAACGAGCAAGACCTGATGATTAATTTTTACATGTATTACCTGCATAATGATGACTGCTATGGGGAACAAAGAATTATTTTTTTAAATCTTCATGCATTGCACGATGGGCACGATTCAATTGAAAACTTGTGATTTCAAACCGAGTAGGTAATGCATGAAGCACTTGAACTTACGCAACTGTCTTCAAAGTATATGAATATAAAAAAGGATGATGATCACGGAATCACCCACAATAAGGCGACAATAAGATGTTATTTGTAATGTTATTATCTTACAAATTAAAATTGAGGTAACCAATTATATTTTTCAAATTATTATATTTTTAAATCAACCAATTACATCTCCAACTGATGAGACTAAAAATCGAATAGAAATAAAACTCAGCAAGACTCTTTCACTCCTCAACTTTCTCCATGAATCTAAGCTTTTCTCTTTCTTTCTTTTTCTTACTCCATGGGCTTTCGATTCTTCCCTTATCTTCTCTTCTTCACTCCTTATATTCCACACGTCTGTCGCGAGAGTGCATATAGCATGCTTTTTCAGTGCACATTCGTGTCCAAGGAATAAGGCGGCACATAAATCAAGCCCAAAGATTGCGTGTGTTTATATGCATACTCGGTCGTTCTCGTGCATCTTACTTTCTTCAACGACAATGTTGTCGACGGGCTTTCCCTTTTTTGTGGTTGAATAGAATTTTACGTTTATTTTATGCAAAATAGAACGGTTTTTGGAAAATTTGAAAAGTTTGAAAAACCTAATGATATTTCAAAGTCTTCTTGCTCCTCGTTCTTTAAAATAACTATTCTTTTGAGTTTGACACTACTTATAATAAAATAAAAATAATAAATACACAAAGCAGTTCTAGACCGTCCGTAGAAAGTGTGGCACTACAACTTCTTTCGCCAAAGTATACTGCATAACTCAACTTGTCTACGTAGCCTAAAAATGGATACAGAATGACTAAAACATATAATTATGTGTTTACTGTACAGCTACTTGAAAAATCAAGCAAGAAAAAAAACAGATTGATAACGACCGAAGAGATTATGAGATGATAAATATTAAGGCTACGAGTATATTCGTTCAAATAACCGATTTTGGGCTCAGAATTGAGACACCTTACGTTTTTTCATACTTGTTTTTTTACGCTTAGGTTATAAGTTTTATCTTAAGTTTTAAAACCTTGTACAGATTAAGGATTCAATATAATAAACCGTTTTTTCTTACCATTACAAGATTTAGGAATTTTTTTTTTAAATTAAACTTTGATTGATAAATATTAATTATTAAATAAATACCTCGAATTTCAACCTTTTATAGAATATCAACCTTTAATTTAAACAAAGGTTTTGTTCATATATACTTGCAGCATATGTTTGTTATAAGTTATTAATACGGTTGGTGCTAAGCTTCTGCGTATTTTTCGGTAAAATTTTATTAATACAAGACTTTATTGTACGTATCTCGATCAACTTACTACCAGATTTTATTTTATGGTGCTAATTGCTCGATTAAGAAATAATGAACTTAATTTCATAACAAAACATTTGTTATTTTATTTTAAGTTTTTCACTAACTTGAACGAAATTTCTTAAAATTATTTTAATAAATTTACCATTAACGTAATTTTTTTTTTTTACTTTTCTGATTATTATTTATCAAAATACACAACACGAGTCATATAATATCATATTCTTCAAATTGATGATTTACTAAGTTTTACTTATTTATGAAGTTTTACTACTTTCGCTGCATTTTGATAAAATCATTGAACCTCCTCAAGGTGAACCGTGGAGTTGGGATACCATGACTTGCAAATAATGTTTTTCAATGTTTTTTAAATTCACGGAAGATGTAATGTTTACATCTAGAATAAAATAAATTAAAAATGACCATCTTTTTTACTTAATTTAATATAATACATTCAAGATTGACGGTGAGAGGAGGGGTGACCGGTGTTGTATGTACGTATTTTAGTAACAAAATACTACAGAATTTTCTGAATTATTTTAATATACAAATCAATATCAGGAAACTGTATAATAGGTGAGGTGAAAATGAAAAATCAAAGTAGTGTAATTGGATATTTTTTAATTAAATATGTAACTCATATAAGGCTTTGACTGTGTTGAGACATCTGTTGGATTTTGTTGGAAGTACCATTTTTTGACCCGTGCTATGTCGATAACATGTTAAAAATTATCTCTCTTACCTACTAAAGGTATCATATAATGACTCACAAACTTTTTAGCTAGTGATTTTGATAATATAATCTCAAAAGTTTTTTTTATAATGTAATGTATTTATATATAAGTTAAAAATTCTTTGACGTAAATAAGAAGCAAAGACAGAGACAAATTTTACTACAATCATGCCAACTTTTCTTTTGCCTTCTCTAGTAAATGCATATTTTCGTTCTAGTTACTACTGTAGCGTGTACAAATGCAGCCTTCAAATGTCTCTACAAATAATTATTAGGTATAGATATCGCTCGCTTCGTCGAGGTGAGACGCGTGGCTCAGGTTTTAGTTCTTTTTTTCAAACACCTAAACTGGAAAAGGTTTTAGTTTTAAGACTGGCCACTTCATTTACTTTTGTACAGAATCTTTGGCGCTAGTAGTCGCGTCTCACCTCTAATAAATATCTATGACGCAATAATCTCGTGGATTGTGTTTTTATGTGTCCAAAGTTGAAACAAAGTTAAACACTATTCAAGTCTAAATACTGACTATTATATTTTGTTATTGAAGCATCATAAGCAAGCTTTCTATGAATAACAATATTTTGATGCTAAAAGTGTTACTTTATAATAGTTTTATTTCATAGATGTATTTCATGAACATTTGTATTTAATATATAAATAGATTTTATAGAATTCCGCCGATCTCAAAGTTATAAGCCAAATTTACCAGCAATAAGTCGTTGAACATTATGAAAAGATTTTTAAAAGATAATAGATTCATCGGTGATTCAGCTGAAACGCCAAATTAATTTCTTTATTTTTCGGCAGTATTTTGTTAGACCAGCCTTAATAAACGTTCCTAGAAAATCAATAAATATAGGAATTGTGAGTGAAATTAATGTTTTCATATACTGGTATGTCCGCCCTACTGATAAAGAATAAACTCCGTTTATTTTGTAATTGCTGAATAATGTCATAGATTCTAATTAGTAATCAATGTTATCGGAAGTTTTACGCTTTTTTAAATCAAAAACAATCATATTAAAATAATAAATGAAATTAATATTTCCAATAGTAATTGTAAATGCCTCGTTTCTCAATAATTCATAACTTTTATGCAAAATTTGAAAGAGTATATGCTCTTCAGACGTCCGAAGTTTTGTTGCCAACAAATATATACATAAAAAATGTGCTAGTTCCGTAAAAAGGTAAACACACTTTTAGCTTCAAAAGATTTTCGATAATTTGTTCTTTGAAGTTCAGGGAAGAAATAAAAAGGAACAAAGTAAGTGACAGAATCATGTAAAAATGTAATTAATTTTTTATAGGTACAGGTCTCATTCTTAACATTATTTCGAAGGAATAATCGTAAAGGAATGTTCAACAACTTTATACATTTTTTTTTCTTTCAACAACATATACAGAAATTTATAAAATTTAAAATTTACAATTTCTTACGCATGTTATTACGCTACTTTGGCAGGTATGATTTTATTGACAGTGACTCACAGCTTCGGCAAACAGTATCTTTTTTCAAAAAATTGACGATCCTATCAGCAAATCACATTGTTCGATCAATGCAACAACAAGGAATCACATCTCAATAATTAAACATCGATAACGGGAATCGGAACGATTGACCATTATCGTTACAATGTCGCCTGCTTGCAAGCTTGGACTCGTACAATCGCATGGCGACCTGCAGCCTTTGCTTAAAATTTTTCTGATCATCGTTCGAGCGCATATATACATACGTATTGTTATCTGACATCATCTTTTTCGCAAAATATAATTTCTCTCTTGCATTCACGCATCCAATCAGTCAATCACATACACGTACATTGTTCAATGACGCACACACATTCACTTGTGACGTATTAACATTCTTTCGATCGAATAATAATTCAAGAATTTACTGAATCAATATACACTAGACAGAAATCGTCACAACTGATTAAATCACGTGGGACTTAATCACGTTGAGTTTGAAAAAGTGCTGTCTTGTTGTTTAGTCAAAAACGTGTATATTGTAAAAATCTGATCTCCATTGATGGAATTCAAACTGCTTTTCGATAAATTTTCAATCATACTTTATGTACATACATTTAATCAAAAACTATATTAATTTATTGCCAAAACAAAAGTATACTAATACAATTTAACAACTTAAAAAAAACTAAAAATAAGAGTATTTCTTCAAGGATTGCAACGATTTTGTATTTTTATAGGGATAAATACAAAATGCTATTAAATACAATGGACACTGCAAGATTGCAAAATAAGCAAAAAAAAATGTTTGTGCTGTTTTGTACAACCTGCACTTATTTCAAACAAATGTGCGTGTGTTCATTAATCGATTAATATATGAAAAAAATTATCCACTCACCATTACGAATAGAGAAAATAGAAACTTATAAAGTATCCTTAGTCTAATTAAGAAATATATTAGAAATGTACATTTATACCAGCTATCAAATTCATCTAAAAATATATACAAAATTTTTCTTACATAAAATTTTAGCTGAGTCACTTAATTTAATTTACTATGATGCATTTTTTAATTCATAAAANAAACACACACTTTAGCTTGGGTTGTTTTCGTAAAGTAAAAAAAAAAAATATTTTTGGATTATCATGCAATTTAATTAATAAAATAAAAACAAAAAAATAGTTTCTTGCTATGCAATTTATCATCATTAATTTTTAGTAATCGAATATAAATATGTGCAACACTTAATATCTCTCAAAATTCTACTTTATACACAAAAAAATATAATAAAAAAAATTGTTAAAACCACAATTATTCAATGGAATAGCATCACGCCTGAAATATTTTTAAAAAAATTATACTTGAATTTTCGCCATAAACAACAGACATTTTTTTTTTCCCAGTAACATTTTTCACTAGCAAATTTCGGTAACTCATTACACATACTATAATCCTTTCTTTAGATTTACAGTATATTTTTTCTCTCAACAACAATGACGATTTTCAAATTTACATTTTATTGACATTTTTTCCAGTTAACGACAGTTGAAAAAGAGAAAATAAATCGATTTTTGCATTCCATGTCGTAACGTATATATTTCTTCGACGCACTCTTATCAATAGATAAAATGACGCAAATATCTCTCGAGTATTCGTTTAAAATATTCATAATTGGAAGGCAAACGTTATTTTGTAAGTAATTTGACTTTTGATAACATTCAACACACGCGTAAAAATAATAATAATAATAATAATAATAATAACAAAAATGATAATAATCGAATCTCACATCTCAATTGCAATTACTCACGTCAGACAACCACTTTACTTTTCTTCGTACAAAATTACCGTCACTTGGCACATCTCAAGTACACATCTACATTGCTTTACAGTTTTCGGTAACTTTATAGCTCGAAAAAAAAAAAAAAAAAATTAAAGTTCCCGTCACGAAAAGCAACGGAATCTACCTCGATACGTGGCATTGCAATTACGTACAACCACGTGAACCCGCGTTCGCGAAAGCCATCCACACAATTCAGTCGAGTTGAGCTATAAAACCAAAGGTACCTACTTTTCCGATAAAATCATCAACAAACGATCACCCCGAATCGAGTAAAGTACAGTGTCACGCAACTCGAGCCAAGGGCGACACACTCTTCATCACCAATACGTGCTTCGGCATTAATTTTTTGTGCGCAATGACGATATATCATGCATACCGGCGCAAGTACCGAGTCACCGAAACAACCAGGCGACTCCTTTCTCTGCTCGACCGTTTCGTTTCTCCTCCCTCTCTTACGCAACAACAAAAAAGAAAAAAATCTCAAAAACTGCAAAAAAAAACTTTACTTGCATTAAATGAAAAAAAAAAAAAAAAAAAAAAAAAAAAAAAAAAAAAAAAAAAAAAAAAAAAAAAA